GGGCGCATGCCGACGGCCACGGCTTTTCTTCCGTGGCGTGGCCAGTGGGTTCAGACTGCTGCTTGCAGGCAAGCACTTCGCAGCTGCACACCAGCACGTCTCTACTTGTGGATTAGGGGTTGGAGGAGTAGAGGCTGCACGTGAGCGTCATAATACTCGTCCAGGGTCTCGTAAAAGCAATGTTGGCCCTAAATCTGGGGATGGGTTCAAGGAGAGTTCACACAGCTCTGTACTGTTTGGGCCTCTGCCTCACATCACCTATGAGCATGGGTAGGTTTCTTTTAAAAAAAAAACAAACTAGTTTATTTACAAAATTCTAATACAAATTAGAAAAAAATTCTTTCCATTTCCCTCACCCCTCCACCCATCAAATTGTACAACCCAGTGATGAATCCCCTCTTCCACCTGCACATCCACATCCCTCTGCTTCCAGCCTCTCCCACCCCTCCTGGATCCTTAGATCCATTCTACAATAATGGTTTTATATAATATTTATCCTTGTAGGACTGAGTTAGTTCACTCAGCATAATGCTCTCCAGTCCCTCCCAAGTTAGGTAATAATTTACAGTTATTGCTCCTGCGTGCTGCATAGTATTCCATTGTGTGAATGTACCATCATTCCTCAATCCATTTGTTTGTGTTTGGATATTTTGGGCTCTTTTCATATTCTTGCGATGGTGAATAGCACTGCTATGAACATTGGTGTACAAATCTCAGTTTATGCCTCAGTTCTCATATTATCAGAGTATATTCCGAGTAGTGGAATATCTAGGTCATAGAGAATTTCTATATTCAGCTTTTTGAGGAAGCACCAAACTGCCTTTCAGAATGGTTGTACCATTTTGCAATCCCACCAACAATGTATAAGAGTTCCTTACTCACCACATCCTCACCAACATCTATTCCTTGCTATGGGCAGGTTTCTTAAGGTCTTCAACCCTCAGTTATCCCCATCTGTGAAATGGCATCAAGACGGTGATTGTGTGCTGGGAGAGTTCGGTTTCAATGATAGATCATTCACCCAGCACAATGCTGAGTCTGTGGTCGGTGGGTAGGAAAAGGTAGCAGTTATACGTTGCTGTCGTTGTTGTTGTTATGTGCCATCGATGAGAGTATGACTCATGGTGACCCTGTGAACAACAGATCTGACCTCTGTCCTATGCTGTGCCGTCCTCATCATCTCTGACACGTGAGCCCACTGCTGCAGTCACTGTGTCAGTCCACCTCCTTGTGGGTCCTCCTCTATTCACTGACCCTCTGCCTTTCTAAGCACGATGTTCCTCGCCAAGGAATAGCCTTCCCTACCAACATGCCCAAAGTGGCTCAGTCAACCCAGGTCTTTCTCCTGCATAGAAAAACCTTCTCTGGAAACTAATCAGGTCCCTGTTCTTGACTTCACTCACTCCACTGTGCAACCTTCACTCTGGACTCTTGTCATAACCATAATACCCAATCATATATCGCTTTTAAACAGTTCTCTCCCTCCTCTGTTTCAATGCAGTATGCATAATTTATCCAATTTTTCTCAGACCCCTATTCTTGACCTTTGTAGAGTTATTACAGTCTTCCCTCATTCTTCTCTGACATCATCTCGAATGATGTCTTGGGCGTGCGTGCTTGCTTCTTGCTGCAGAAAAGGATTCTCTCAGCTGATTTTCCTTTCTTCACACTGACTTTAATCAGCCCCAGCTCGTACACTCCCAGGCATGTCAAAAGTGTGCCCCAGAACGTTCTCAGTGGTTGATGGCTTCCAAGTATATCACCAGGCCTTTCGTCCAAGGCCGCTCTGGGTGGACTTGAACCTGCTGATCACCAGCCCAGTACATGGACCATTGGCACCATCTGAGACTCCCACTTCAGCTTTAGAAGAAGTGCTGTCAGATGGGCATTGCTGGATCCACTTCTGCTTCCCTGTCCTCCCCGATGGCTCATTGCAGGGGGCTGGTTTCGATTTGACTTTCCTGTGAAAGGAGGAAGGACTCACAGTGCAAGTGGGTGAAAGGAGCAAGAACAATGTGGGGGGACAGCAAAGTCTAAATTCTCCTAACTCCACAAAGGGGAACTGTCCCCATCAACAACATCCACAGTACAAAACGGATCCCTGTAAGGTCAAACATGGCTCACTCTGCAGCACTTACTTCTACTGAATATATAGTCTAGAATTCATTGCCGATGACCACACAGACTTCACAGAATCTCTTTTTACTCACAGTTGTGGGTTTACTAGAAAAAAACAGGTTGTAGAGGGAGGGATGACAAAGGATATCACACAGTGAAAGTCTCTATTCAGCACATAACAGTCCCAAGCAGGTTCACAGCAAGGCACAAGCCCTGAGTTAGTTCCAACAGCTGCTTAACAGCCAATTCCAGTCCCACAGTTAATCCAGGCAGCTTCTCGGTCAACAGCAAGATATACCTGGTGCAGGAACCTCTGGCCTCAAAGGACATGAGCTGCTTTCTCTGCTGCTTCTTTCCTGGTGTCGACGTTCCCATCTCAAGGGCTCAGGCTCTGGCCCTGGGGTTCCATCAGCCACACCTTCTCATAGTTTTACTGCTGTCTGGTTGGCTCTCTCTTCTTATATTAACCCCACAGCTGTTGATGTTGGAGATGTTCATCAGTGGAGAATTAAGTGTCATCAGTTGAGGCATCTGAGGACCACACTCCCAGGGGGCCTGAGGGTGGCGAGTGGAGCCTCAAAGATTCATTTTACTCGCATATGCCTACCTGGCTGTGTGGTCAGGTCTAAGACAATGGATAGAAAAGTAAATCTAAGACAATGGATAGAAAAGTAAAAAAAAAAAATCCTACCACCACAAAGTGTGAGATTCATATCTGGGAGTGAAATGTGACAAGGGATGTTTTGGTTTCTTCCAGTTTATGCCACGACCGCCGCCAACCCCGATGAGTCCTCCTACGCCTGCTACTATGACGACGAGAGGGGCACGTACCTGGGGGACTGGTACAGCGTCAACTGGATGGAGGACTCGGATGTGGTGAGCCTGGGTGTGGGCACGCTGCGGTGGGGGCCTCGCCACCAGCCTTGAGCGTGGAAGGACTTGCAGGCTTCTGTCTTGGCAGGAGGACTTGACGAAGGAGACACTCCACAAGCAGTACCAGCTGGTCAAGTCTCACACCAACACCAGCCACGTCATGCAGTACGGAAACAGAGTGAGTGGGGCCCCCGGGCCCGCAGCTTGGCTCCTTACATCCTAGAATCTTATGGGGAACAGAGATGGGATCCACCAGGAACTGGTCAGGGCAGCCCCTGCCTCTCACACTGCTTGCTCGCTATTCTAATCTGGGCAGGAGTATGCTTTGAACTTACAGTGACGAGACTCTGGACAGCTTTTCTGAACTGTTCGGAGTCTATTTCCTTGTAAGCTAAAACCCCAGAGTACAAAGTTGCTAGAACATTCGAGATTTCACGTGTTCAGAACACTAAATGCTGAGGAGGCCTAGCCTGGAGGAAGAGAGTGCTCAGGGAAAAACTGTCCTCAGGCAGGGTCAGCGCTGCCCTGCCACCCCACTCCTGGGCTTCACCAGGGCTCTCCCTCACGGGACACTGCGGTTTGTCACCTTCCTCCTTTGTCTGTAAACTGGAGACTATGTCCTGAAGGCATCGCATGTGCCTGGAGTGTGCCCTGCACATCCACGAGGCTGCCAGCTGAGACCTGTTCTACTGGGGCTGACATTGGCCTTGTAGAGGAACTGTGAGCCGGCCACTGGGCCATCTTCAGCCTTCACCAGTGGGGCATGGGCTGGAGCAGGGAGGCCCTAGCACGTAGGGAAGAGACTTAGGATGCCTTGGACCTGGTCAGTGTCAGGGAGGGAGTAGAACAGAGGAGAAGCAGAGGAGAGGTGACTCGGGGAAGGCTGGACCAAAGGTGGCCCAGCAGGAGGATGGACTTTTCATCTTGAGCTTTCTGTTCACTCTGGTATCTCTTCTAGCATTGCCACCCAACTTTTTATTGTTCTTTCAGTGAAACTACAGGGCAAATTGGTTTTCCATTCAATCATTCATGCATTTTGTTCTGTGACATTAGTTACAGTATTAACGGTGTAACACCACTCTTCCCACTCCCTCCCTGTGGTTCTCTTTCCACTCACCCTTCTGTTCTTATATGTTTTTATATATGTTTCTGGAATCCCTGGGTGGTGCAGAAGGCAAACATGATTGACTGGTAACTGAAAGGTTGTAGGTTCAAGTCCACCCAGAGGCACCTTGTAAGCAAGGTCAGGCAAGCTACTCTGAAAACCTTGTGGAGCAGAGCTCTACACTGACCGGGGTGGGCTCGCCAGGAGTCGAGAACCACTTGACAGCAGACGGCTTCTGACCTGGCTGTGTATCACGTTTTCTGTTTTAGATCTGTGTGTGGGTTCTTTTTTTGGCTTGGCTCAGAAACGTGTGGTTTTGGAGGCTGGCAGCATGTCTGAGGTTTGTTTGGTGGTGTGCTGACTGCCGAAGCCCCATAGCCTGGTTGAGAGCTGCTGTGGTTTAGACTTCAGCGCCAGGCATCAGCACAGAACATTGAGCCCTGAACTCTGCCCTTGTCAGTGGACAAAGCCTGAAATATTCCTGCTCTAGGCTGCTGGGGAGACAGGAAGCGAACAGGGTGAGCACAGCCCAGGGTGGCCATTGGCTGGTACCTCTCTGGCCCAAGCTCTGTTTGACTGTTGACCAGTGGTTCCATTTCAGACAGAAGGAACAAGGTGCCAGGCAGGACTGAAATCACCCATCAGTTGATTTCAAGTGCTCAGCAGGTCACTTGGCCTTTGCTGGAGGGAACCTGTGTGCGCCTGTGTCCTTTCAGCGTCCCCACGTCTTTGGGGTGCACTGGGAGGCTCCTGAGAGGTGTGCACCCCACCTCCTCCCACTCAGCCCAGCTCCCTCCCCTCTCTCTGCAGTCCATTGCATCCATGAAGCTCATGCAGTTTCAAGGCACCAAGCACAAAGCCAGCGTGCCCATCTCTCTGCCCCCCGTCAAGCGCCTCGACCTCATCCCCAGCCCTGAGGTGCCCCTGGCGATCATGAAGAGGAAGCTGATGGCCACCAACAACCTGCAGGAGTACAGGAACCTTCTCAACAAGATCAACAGGCATCTGGAGGTGAGCGGTGGCGGAGGGAGCCCCTCCCAAGTTCCCTTTATCTGCCCTAGGCCTCCTGACCATTCTCCAGCTTTACTTGGAACTAGGGTGACTCTGGGGTCACTCTCCTCCCACTATGTGGGGCTACCTGGCTAAGGAAACCAGTCATTATATGTGTGTGAAATAGAAGCCCCTTAAGGACATGCTGACCTCCCCCTCTGCCACTTCAGGAACCAAGCAAATAGGGGCCCAGCCCTCCTGTGTCCGGCCAAAAAGTGGGCTTGGGGATAATTCCCAGGTCTACACTGCAGGCTTCAAAGACTTTGTTCGCTTATTATTGTTGACTTACTGTTGTATGTCCCACCAAGTCTGAACCGATCCGTAGTTGACCCTCCAGTGGGTTTTCAGAAGCTATAAACTGCATGGGAGGAGATTGCCCATCTTTCTCTCTCGGAGAAGCTGGTGGATTCGAACTATGTGCCTATGGGATGGCAGTGCAGCTCCTTACTGCTAGGCCACTAGAGAGCTCCCTGTGTTGACTTACTAGCCAATCATATATATATAAAAGTAATCTACCCCACAAAGTCACCCGAGAGCCCCAAAGTCTTCCTGGATGGCACAGAAGCCAGCCTAATCCCCGCGTTGCCTCTCTGGAGCTCCTCCGTTACTTGGAGCTGGCCGAATGGCCTTCTGGTCCGGATTGTACCCGAGCAGCCGGGAGCCACAAGGAGCGCATTTACTGGGACTGGGCACAAAAGGGCAGACTGTCCTTCCCAACAAAGCCCTTTCTCTGCTTGCTCTGTCAGCACAGTCCAGGATGGACGCTGCCCTGGCCCCGGGGCCCCGTGAGCACAGAAAACCCCTCAGAATTTTCTAGGGAAGAGTGAGGCCATGAGAGCCGGAATCTGACGGGACCCCCTTGTTTTCTGGCCTCAGCAGTTTCCCGCCTTTGAAGGGGTGCAACTTTCTGCCACTCTATTAACGGAAAGGATTTGCATTTTCATTCTCTGACGGTTTCTGTCTTAACAGCTTCCTGCTCTCACACGTTTGTTTCAGATGTATATAATTATCCTGAAAAATTAGACCTGAGAGTGGCTGCCACACTAGCCACCACATGGTTAGCTCGTGTCAAACACGTAACACCAAGGGCTTCATATTGGTGTCAGATCTCTTTAAACTGTTGATCCCAACGAGCTTTGATGTGAGTTCTCTAGCTGTTGATATTTATGTGATTAGAAATTAAAACCAAGATTTACAAATACTAAAGCACTAAGATACAACACGAAGACAAACAGAATATTTCTCATGAAAAACAACCGTTTCTCATTACTGTAATAGTTTGATGAGAGACTTTGCTGTTCATTTTTGCGAAAAGGCTTTCCTAATAGGAGACCGCTGAATCCTCACAGCTGCTGAATTCTGCTGTGCTGTTCCCGCTGAAGGACATGAAGAAAGTTGAGCGTCACACACGTGGATAGATGGGAAAGAGGGCCCAGTGTGGGACCCCTGCAGAGGCCTTGGGGCCCAGGGGGTCCTCAGTGACAGACCCGGTACCCACTAGGCAGCACGTCTTTGTTGAATGCAGACCCAAACTAGAAAGCCTAACTGTAGAGGGGCTAGGACAGAGACCTGCTTGTCAAATACGGTTAATGTGGGCACTTTCCCTCTCGTCATGCAGCTTGTCAGTGTCTGGGAGGAAACAGTTTTTTTCTTTAATTATTTTTTTCCTTTTTTTAAAAAAAAATAATTTTAATGAAAGTTTACAGAGACTTAGGGTTTCCAGTCATTCATTGTTGCACTTTTCCACCCCCTCCCCCTCCAATTCACTCTTCTCCTTGAAAAGAAAGAAAAACTCTTTCATTGTTATATATAATTCCTCCCCCCAAGTCCACTCCACTATGCAGCCTCCACTCTAGACTTCTGTAATGACTTTTGGGTCCCTTTTTCTAATGGTTATGAGGAGCCCTGGTGTCATGGTGGTTCAAGTGCCAGACTGTGAAGTGAAAGGTTGGGGGTTCGAACCCACTAGCTGGCCAGCGGGAGAAAGAAGAGGCAGTGGGCTTCCATAAAGAACCCTGTGGGGGGGAGCTCTGGTGGCCTAGTGGCAAGAAGCTGCACTGCAATCCCAGAGGTACATAGTTTGAAGCCGCCAGATGCTTTGCTGGAGAAGGAGGAGCAATATCCTCCTGTACCAGTCAGATCTGATTTGACGGTACATGCACACAATAATAAAAATTAAAAAATAAAAAAAAATCCTGTGGGGCGGTTCTTCTCCATAAGGCTGATCTAAGGGGCTTTGTTTTGGGGGTTTATCTAAGCATCGGTTGGTCTCCCGAACGGATAGTGATAAGACAGCTGTGAAGATGGCACCTTGTCCCACCATTGGTTACTTTATATCACAGATTGTGGGGTCTGTTTTCCATAGAATCAGACAAGCTTGTTCAGTCTTTAGACATATTCCCACAATGGTGAAAGATTCTGAAAAGACAAAAATCTTCATTCTGTAGAAAGATCTTTCTCCAGTGTGCTGGCTGTGATAGAAACAGGGCATATACCTGAAAACATTTATTTTTTAATTGTTGGCATATTTTGAAAAAAAAAATGATCGTTGTCTTTTTAATTGGAAAATGCAAATAGCATCACATTTGGCAGGTCCGCGGTTTTCAGCCATGCAGTTCTGTGAGCCGGTTATCACCAGACCTGACCCCGGCCATGTTTTCAGCCCGCTGCGTGAAAGCTCGCTGACGGCCTCTGGTCTGCGTGTTGTCGGGGGTGGTGGGGGGGACTGTGTGGGGAGGAGGCTTTAAAGGTGCTCTGACCCTGCCAGGGGGCTGGGAGGGACCGTGCTGATGGACAGATGTCCTCACAGGCTAGGCACGTCATAGAGAAGTCCATGCAGAAGATCGTGTCCCTGCTGGCCTCGTCCGAGGCTGAGATGGAGCAGCTCCTGTCCCAGCGAGCCGAGCTCCTGCAGTACACCTGCTACCAGGAAGCCGCCGTCTACTTCCGCACGCACTGCTTCAACTGGCACTCCTCCACGGTAAGCCCGGGGCCCCCCACTCCACCTTCCTGCCAGCCAGACCCCACAGCAAGTTAGAAGTATCCCCTGAAGTCCCCCCAAATACACAAACTTACTGATATCACATGAAGTTATGTCATGATCTCCCACAATCTGATAAACCAAATTGTAAGGTTAAGGGTGGGCTGCAATACCCTAATCCCATCCCAGCCCTGACCTAATGGAAAGGGAATGTCCCTGCAAGTGGCCTGCAGTACCTTCTAGTTCACAAGAAATAAAAAGGAGAGGGAAGCCACCAGAGAAGGGGGGAACCTCAGCGCCCCAACACACATGAGTCAGGAGCAGAGTGCATCCGTTGGACCCAGGTTCCTGTGCTGGGAAACTTCTAGAACCAGAAGGCACAGAGGGAGTCTTCCCCTGGAGTCAGTGCTCTGAACTTGGACTTTATGTGGTACTGCTGTAACAGGAACCCCCCAAGCAGGTGGCTTGAACAAACAGGTGCTTTGCTCACAGATCAGGAGGCCGGAAGTCTGAATTCAGGTCACTGGACGCTCCTGCTCCTGTTCAGTTCTGTGCCTGGTTCCTGTCCATCTTAGTGGTGGTGTCTGTCTGTCTTCCGCCAGCTGTGCTTGCTTGTTCCTGTGCCTCATCTGTCCCTTTTAGATTTCTAAAGGGATTAGAGATGGCCTCATTAACATAAAAAACCCCTGGACCCAAATGAGTTTCCACCCTTTGCCGCACACACTCTGGGTACACACAGTTCTGTCCGTGATGTTTCTCTTCAGGAAGGCTGAAGCGACACGCAGCTGGAGGGAAAAGGGGTGTGCTTCAGAGGCCTTGGACGGGGTGAGGGACGGAGCTGTAGGTGCAGTGGACACAGTCCTATCGCTGGACACCCAGCGTGTGGAAGAGTTCACCAGAGTCCTGCGGGACCCTGCTCCGCATATCCCTGGCTTTGAAGACAGTCCCTGTCCAGCCCCATCCCTTGGCACTCACCCCCCACCACATGGCATCTTCCTTCCTTCTGGGTCTCCTCCAACCCTCACTCCCCAAGATGCGTTGTGAGAGTGAAGTCCCTCCCATGGGGCGGAGGAAGGTACCACAGTCTGTGGACTGTACAAGGTTGGGGGCAACTAAAAAGAGAAGGCTTCTAGTGAGTGTGTACCATGGGGTACATGGAACCTTCTAGAGCAGCTGGACAGGCTGCAGCCACAGGCCCAATGCACCATCCTCCCGCTTCTGTGAACATAGGTTGTCCTCAACTCAGCACCCAGTCAAGGAATGGATACGTGTGCGTTTATCCAGAGAGGTCATTCCTCTCTGTCACCATACATGAGGCCACATTTATCAGTCAGCCATTCCTTTGATCTTATCGTTAATAATAATGAGCCCATACAGGGTTGTAGCGTATAATTTGCTGTTGTGATTTTCACGCAAACTCCCAAAAATAAAGCTTGGATTTACAAAGGCATTTTAAAAAAGGCATTCCACTTTACGTCCAGACCAGTTTACAACATACTTGTTGAGGCATGACCCCATGAGGTGGGGGTCCTGTTGTTTCCATGGAAACATATCTCTGCTCCTGCAGTTCCCTTCAGCTCCTTTCTTACCACCATCACAGAGATGCGGGGCCATGAGGCCGGAAGCATTTGCCCTCCGGCCCTCACAGTGGGGTGCACTGACCCCTGCTCTAGAGGCATGCCGTCCAATAGCCACGTGCAGCTGTTGGAATAAAAGTGAATTAAAAAGGAATAAAATGGAAACTTGAGCTCCTCTGCCAGCAGCAGCCCCGTTTCCCTCATACGACGGTCACATGAAGGGAGTGGCTGGTCAATCGGAGACCTTCTGGAACATATCCCATTGTAGAAAGGCCCGTGTGGCCGACTGAGCATTCAGGTCCTGCTGGCACATGCCCAGGGTGTCCAGGGGTGGAGGATGGGCCCTTCCCAGGTAACTCTCCTTCACTCGGAAGCTTCTTGATTATTAGTACTAATGTCAATGAAAATTTACAGACTTTGCATTTCCATTCATTCATTGTTGCACTTTTCTCCCCTCCCAACCCTTCCCCCTAGTACACTACCCACTTAGAAAAGTAAAAGAAAAATTCTTTCATTGTTTTACAAACCCTCCCCCAGGTCCACTCCACTATGCAGCCTTTGCTCTGGACTCCTGTCATGACAAAAATACCTAATCACATATCCCTTTTAAACACTTTTCCCCCCCCATCTGTTTCAATGCAGTATACATTATTGAACCCATCTTTCTCAGTCTCCCCCCAACCCCAATGTCAGTCCTGTTTTATAACAGTGGCACCATGCAGTATTTGTCCTTTTGTGACTGAGATACTTCACTCAGCATAATGTCCTCCAGAGACACTCATTTTTAATAATATTGCATGAGTTCCTTGTTTTTCAATGTTGCGTAGTATTCCATTGTGTGAATATACCAGAGCTTCTCTATCCATTCGTTTGTTGATGGACACTTAGGTTGTTTCCACCTCCTTGCTATTGTGAACAAAGCTGCAATAAACATGGGTGTGCATATATCTGCTTAGATGTAGAAGCTTCTTTGTATTCGTCAGTAAAGTACTTCTGTCAAGCTGGTTCCGACACGGCAATCCTCCGTGGGTTTCTGAGGCTGGAAATCCTGACGGCAGGAGGCAGCTTCATCTCCACAGAGCAGCTGGTGAGTTCAAACCGGACCTCTTGGCGGGGATCTGAGGATGTCTCCTGTGTGTGTTTTCTTCCAGTATGAATATGCCTTGAGACATCTGTACGTGCTGGTCAACCTCTGTGAAAAACCTTACCCCGTTGACAGGTGGGTCAGCGTGTGCGGGTCACTGCCATTCTGTTTGTTCTGCAGCCAGGCAAGCCCACTTCTGCCAGCCCCTACCCCAGCTCTGTTCTGGAAGCATCTGCCACGGGAATTCAGAATGGCTACATTTTCGGGCCCAGTTCCAGCCCTGTCCCGGGTGGGATTCTGGCGGTCACCCTTTCAGGGCTGACACAGCTCACACGCTGCGGCTTCCCGTCTCTTCCAGGATAAAGCTGGCCATGGACAAAGTCTGCCTAGGCTACTATTGAAGAGCCATCCGTGGTGCAAAGCTCCTCCAAACGCGACCCCCTGATGGTGAGGCTCGCTGGAGACTGAAGGTGGGGCCAGGATGACGCTTGACCAGCCTGGCCCGTGCCCTCCCCAGGAATGCCGTCGGGCCACTGCTGGGCCATACCCACCCTCACCTGGTCGCCCAACATTCTCCAGTCTATGGCGCTCTGAGAAACAACAGATCTGGGCGGGTACAGCTCTGAGTTGACAAGTGTGTTTGCTTTTTTTGAGGTTCCCTGTCCACTGTTTTGAGAGTGAAACACATTCATTTGGGCTTCCATAGCTAGTGAGGGAGCCTTTGACCCAAGGGGTCTGAAGTGCTGAAACCTGAGTCTTTGGAATACTTCGTTGGAAAGGGCCCTGTGTGTGCCCCCAGTGGAAATCTATTTTTAGAAAATGTGATTCTAATTTTAATTGCTTTTGTATTTTTATTCTGCAATAATGGACCAGTCTTCAAAAATAAAAGATTGATCACTAAACCCAAGCGCTAATTTCTGGCCCGACTGAGGTGTGTGTTCCTAGCCCCTCCCTGCCTTCTCTGGACACATCGTTCCCCGCATCTCTGCTAAATGACCACATTGTACTTCGCTCTGTCTATACTCCTGAACAAGGAGCTCTGGATGCTAACAAGAAGGTCCACAGTTCAAACCCACCAGCTGCACTGTGGGAGATGAGGCATTCTGGCCCCCTGGAGGTCGGCACCTCAGACCTCTGTGGCGCAGCGCCTCTTACCCCATGGCACTGGGCGTCCGCCTGGACTTTGCACCTCTGCTGCTTGCAGTTACTCTGTCTGCAGACCTCTCCCTGCGTCTCTGGGTCCTCAGCATTTGTTGTTGTTGTTGTTGTTGGGTGTTAGCAGGTGGTCTGAACCATCCTGGACCACCCACCCTCACAAGTCTCTTTCTAGCCCCCCCCGCCGCCCCGTTACAGTCACCACATCATTTCCTGTTGAGGGTCCTCCGCTCTTTCACTGACCCTCTGCCTTTCATAACATGCCTTTTCCTAAGGACTGTCCCTTCTTTTTTTTTTTAATTTTTTACTATATTTCTTTATTGGGAAAAACATATTGGGGGTACAAGGAGGTGAGGGTTGGGGGCAGAAGGGTGAGGATGGGCCAGGATGCAGTTGCAGAGCTGCACAGTTTGGTTGGTGGGGGGAGCAGGTGAAGGAAATGATGAGGGTCCAGTGGGGACCAGATGCTACAGAGGAATGACAAGCATTTTCCAATAGTAATTAAACCAACTGTCTTATTGATTTGGGAACTGGATGCCGACTCTCTGGCTTCTTCATGCTGAACAGGGGCGTAGATATAAAGGGGGGAAGGGAGGATGCTTTATCATCTTACTGGTGGTCTTGGGTTACAGCTGCTTGCCTTCTTGCTCCTGAGGGCCGCGACGGTTCGCCCTGAGCCGTGGGCCAAGCGCAGCCCACCCCAGGCAGAAGGCCACAATGGCTCACCCCGGGCAGAGGGCAGAGGGCAGCCCACCCCGGGCAGAGGGCCGCGACAGCTCGCCCTGGGCAGGGAGCCAAGGGCAGCCCGCCCCGGGCAGAGGGCCGCGACGGCTCGCCCCGAGCCGGGGGCCAAGGGCAGCCCGCTCTGGGCAGGGGGTCGAGGGCAGCTTGCCCCGGGCCGGGGGCTGAGGACAGCCCACCCCGGTCAGAGGGCCGCGATGGCTGAAGTAGTCTTTTTTTAAAAAAGAAGAAGAAAAGGGGTGTGTGTGTGTGTGTGTGTGTGTGCTGTCAAATTGGATCTGACTGGTACAGGAGACTGCACCTCCTTCTCCAGCAGAGCATGAAGTAGAGAGTCTGGGGTTTTTTTCCACCCCAGGTGCCTGTCGGGGCCTGGGTTTCAGCTGTCCACACCACAGCAGTGGGCAACGAGCTTAAAGCCCCTGATGGCTCTGGGCACTGACTCTCACCAGTGGCTAGGACTGTCCCTTCTTGACAACATGCCCAAAGTTTCACCATCTTTGCCTCTTAGGAAAGCTCTGGTTACACTTCCTCCAAGACATACTTGTTGGTTCTTTTGGCAGTGCATGGGGTATTTAGTAATCTGCAACATCACAATTAAAAGGCATCCATTCTTCTGTCATCCTTACTCATTGTCTAATTGCCAGTTGCACAGGAAGTTATTGAAAAGGCCATGGTTTAGATCAGGTGCACCTTAGTCTTTAAAGTGGTATCATTGCACTTTAGCACTTCTTATTCGGAACCTTCTCCAGTCCATCCCCAGCCCCCACTAATCAGAAGCACCATTTCCTCCAACCATCTTCATTGCATATACCTGCATTGCATATACCGTTGGAGCATATAGCTGCTGGGCCTGCCCTTACATGGGGAGGGGAATCCTGTGAAAGCCCAGAGCTCTCCAAGGGCAGAGGCTGCTCTTTGCTCCCACAATTCAGGGCTCCAGAACCTTTGGGCTCTGATCTAAGGCAGTCAATACAAGAGGTGTTAACTCTTGGAGTAACAGTCCAGGGTCACCAGGGAGCAAACCTCATGGTCAGCTGGTATTGAAGGAAGAGGGATAATAACATTTTCAAGGAGTATCTTTAAAGACCTGGTGGGTTCTAATAGCTGCTCAGCTCTTAGCTACAGGGGCTTCTAGTCCTAGTCTCGCTAGAGTGCAGGTCAACCTGACACAGGCGGTCACCATAGATCAATGGACTGGACGGCTTATTAACTATCCCTGCAGCCCTGTTCCCCTTTCTGGAAAGAAAATAACACTTGGTAAATAGAGAAAGTGGAATGTTCAAGTTTCTGATGGGTTAGTTAAAGCAGCTAGGTTTCATTCTTGAGTAGATGAGAGGTCCATCATTGACAAAGCCATGGGAGCTCTGGTGGCCTAGGGGCAAGAAGCCGCGCTGCAATCCCAAAGGTGCGTGGTTCGAATCCATCAAACGCTCCTCTGGAGGAAGGACAATCTCCTACTGAGCCAGGCAGGTCTGACTCAATGATACACAAGAAAAAAAAAATAGAAAACATTGAGGAGCCCCTTCCCCTCCTCATGGTAAGCGGCTCTGCTGCCAGCCTTCCAGGGGGCTGGCCTTTCTGGGAGCCTCACAACTATGACCAGACTCCCCCCAGCCCCATTATCACATGTTCTTGTATTTCAAAAGAAAAAAAATCATAGCAAGTTTACAAAAATACTTTCCAGTGGGAGAGGCATGGCAAACCCACACAGAAAGTGCCTATTACTTGCATAAAAATACAGCGTGTCCAAAATCCAGAAGCTCACTTTTCTAGCACAGGAGTTACGCAGGATAGAAATCCCCAGAGCAAAATATAATTCCCCTCCTTTTCCCCCAGAAATCTCCCAACGTCTGGTTTTACCAGTAAGTCCCTTTTCTTTATATTACATCAGTGGGTGGCTCCCGCGTGGCAGCGTGCCAGAGGAGAGTAACTGTGTTCGCGGGAAGGGCTTTTCTTTTTCCCTAATGAGATGGATTGACACAGTGACCGTGACAGTGGCCTTGGGCATGGCGGAGGTAATGATGGGGCAGTGTAGATAGAACAAGGTTTCAATGTGAAGTTCATAGTCCTGCTATGGGTTGTAGTCAGTTTGATCGAACCTAACAACAGTGGCTTTCTGGTCAAGATTTTCACAGCAAACCAGAACCTCAAGGAAGCTGTTTATCAACTCCATCATGATGATGTTTGTCCTCTGTATTTTTCTTGAATCACTTCCCTTTCACCCTCTGACAGCGTCCACTTAATTTGCTGTCATCCACGTAAACTTAGAGAGTTAAGCTTCCCCTAGGACATTCAGTCCACTGCCGTTCTCATCCTTATTGAAACTCAGCACTGTCACACAGAGCGGACGGTCTGCCCCTGGCCCAGCCATCCCTGGACCCCCGGTGGGCCACATGGTGCCTCTGGGGTGGAGATGGTGGCCCCCTTGATATGGTGGACAGAGTCCACATGTAGATCTAGACAAGAGGAGCAGACTGGACTTCCATCCCTTCTTGTCCCCTCAGCTATGGGACATTGGTTTTGTGGCAACGTGGCAGCCCTGAATTCAATTACCTTCCCAACAAGAGCCGAGTAGCCTGTGTTCCCAGCAATTGGCCAGGGCATGTAAACCGGGGAAGCAGCACTGCAATGCCTGGCTGAGGGCGCAGCTGCTGGTGGCCTGGAGCTGGCTGGATCCCCAGTTCCTGCCCGGCTCCAGGATGCGTGGGCTGTGGAGTCTGTTCCCAGACAGATTTACTGGATGCCAAGTGCTTCCAGGAAATCAGAGAAAAAGCCACCCTGTGAGTCAGCATTTCTCCTCAAAGCTCCACTCCAGGAGATCAGCACGGCATCACCAATGACATTACAGAGTGGGAGGCAGCCCCTGCCTTGGGTCCCCCAAGGCCAGCCCAGCAACTGCACCAGCAAACATGGTCCAGGTCCTTGGGCGAGGCCTCGGGGCACCTGGTGGGGGCAGGGTGGTCTGGGGTGAAGGAGTGGAAGGTGGCCCCGTGCACCCTAAGTTTCCACATGCCTCTTGATGTGCCTCCCTCCTGCATGCTCTGCCCACTGCACCCACAGGCTGCCATTCCCCCAGCAGACACTTGTTCTTTACCAGGGCACCTTCAGGCCAGGGTGGGACACTCTTCAGGTGTGCAGAAGCTCTGCCCACTTGCATGGGCTCGCTGTGGGGGTAGGGGTGCTACAGGGCCAGGGCCATCCCTCCCAGCCTGGGTGGCCAACCTGGGACAGTTGTTATGTGCCATCGAGTCATCTGCAACTCATAGCGACCTAAACCCTGCTCTATCCTGTGCCAATTGCACTGTCTCTGACACACCTACCTCCATTACTCCAGTGACTGAATCAATCCACCACATCAAGGGTCTTCCTCTCCTGCGCTGTCCCTCCAACCTCCCAAGCATGACGTCCTTCTCTAAGGACTGGTCCCTTCTTGCAACATGTCCAAAGTATGTCAGACGAAGCCCCAGAATCCTTGTCTCCAAGGAGCAGCCCGGTTTAACCCTCTTAGGGATGAACTAGTTTGCTTTCCTAGCAGTCCATAGTATATTCAACACTCTTCTCCAGCACCACAGCTCAAAGCCATCAATTCCCCTTTTATCATCTCTAGTCATCTTCCAGTTCTCCGATGCACAGCAAGTAATTGCAAAGACCATGGCCTGTATCAGGCAAACCTTAGTTTCCAGACTGACATTGTGGCTATTCAGGACTTTGGAAAGGTCTCGGACAGCATACTTTCCCAATGTAATTTGTCTTTTCATGTCCTGGCTGCTGGTACCAAGAGCGTGGTTATTTTTTTTCTTTTTTAGCCAATGTTAGATGGATCTTAGAAGAAATCAAAGAGTACCAGAGGGATGTTTATCTGTGTTTCATTGACTATGCAAAAGCACTGGACTGTATTGGTCATAATAAATTGTGGTTAATCTTGAAAATGGGAATCCCAGAACACTTAATTGTGCTTACGGGGCAAATACCAAGTGTGCCATCATGGCTTGTGGCCCTCACACCTCTGACACATGGCTGTGGTCACGGACCCCTTGCTCAGGCTTCTGAGGAGAAGCTACTTGTATCCTGGACCCCAGGGCCTTCTAGCTGCCTCAGGCCAGTCTAAGGGAGACTTGGCTCACTTAAGTTTTCTCCAAATAGCTCACCAGTCAGCCTCAGTCTCAAACTCCGCTTTGACCTCCTACTAGTGATGTGGCCCAGGGCAAGTCACTTCACCTCTCTTGAGCCTTGATGTCCTCATCCATAAACACCTTTCTCGGCTGCTGTGAGGATCACAAATAATACAGAACAAAGACTATGAACCAGGTACTGCAGGGCTCAGCACACCTCACCAAGGTGAGGCCCCATGTGTCCCCTTCCACCTCCCAGGAGACAGAGGTTTCCAGATGGCCAGGTCTCTGTGCCCCTCCTACTCCTAGGGGGTCTCACCCAGGAATAAACAGCCCCTCTGCCCAGGAGAGAAGGGAGCAGAGGTGAAAAGGCTGAGGATATGGGAACACAGAAGTGACAAGGCTGAGGGGCAGTCAGGCACCAGCACCCTGAGGGCCGAGGGGCGCCCAGGAGTCCCCGGGAAGGTGCGAGCCCTTTCAGAGGACAGACCGTTGGTGCTGAGCGGGGCTTTTCTTACTGCACAGCTTCAGCAGTAATGACAGGAGATGCTGTTTCCAAAAGGGTTTTTATTAGACTCTCTCCAGAGTTAAGCCTCACAATGGCTGCAGACCCCGGCCTGTCCGCAGGGGAAGGTCCTGTCTGCCCCCGAGATGAAGGTACAACTCCTATGTGTTTGAGGAGCTGGCCTCATTGGGGGCTTGGACTATGGAAGGCAGGCTCAATGCAGTGGGGGCTGTCTCCCCAACACACTCCCTGAGAGACACTTCTTAGTGATCTGAACATCCCAGCTCCAACCTGGAGGGGTGGACGTGGCAGGGGTCAGTCCTAGGGAAGGATATGAGCCCATTCTCGAGGCACCAAAGGTGAGGCTGGGCACAGAAGTGGCAGGTGATATGTACGAAGAGGGGTCAGTGTGGGCTTTCCTGCATGGCTGGAGAGTCCCGTCCATCTCTGGGCTTCAATTTTTCTCTTTGGCTAGTGAAGAAGTTCGTCTCAGTGGTCTCCTAGTGCTATGCCTTTCCCTCAGGAAGCACCTTTGGCTGCTGCTTCATCTTCACGACTGTCATAGGAGTTGGCCTGTGCAGATTCAGAGTGTGTGTGTGTGTGTGTGTGTGTATGTGTGCGTTTATGTGTGTGTGTGTGTGTGTCCATTTGTGCACCAGTGTGAGCTGGGTCAGGCACTGGGCATGTGTGTGTACAGTGTGTGTGGCTGTGGGTAGAGAGAAGATAAGCAAAGAACGCCTGGCCTGTCTGTCCAGTCTTCTGCCTGCACTCAGTCTCTGTAACCACTGCCACCTGGTGGGGGCCTCACAGGAAGTTGGGCTCTCGCACCACAAGGCAGGGTGGGCTCCCACTGCCCCCACCGCCGTCCAGGGGTCGGTACACGAAGTGAAAGTCAAGCTTGGGCTCACACCGAAGCAGGTAGCCCTTGATGCGGTGGGGCAGTGCGTCGTCCGCCAGCTGGAAGCAGCGGCCATCCACCAGCACGAAGAGCCGGTGGTCCTCAGGCTGCCCCACCTCGAATTTCTCCGCACACTGCTCACACAGTGCCTGGGCCGGTGTGTCTGCCCGGGACGCTAGTGTCCGCGACTGCTGCTCGGGCTCCAGGTACGACACACAGATGAAGTCCTGCAGGGTGAGATGGGGGCTGTGGTTATCCCAGGGACCAAGAGGACGGATGTCCATCTCACTCCACCCGTGTGATGGGAAGTTGGGCCAGAGGTGAGGAGCTGTGACCATGGACAAGCTTTGCTGCTCTTGGCAAAGGCAGAGGGTAGAGTGGCTGTGAAGCTGGGTCCTCTCTGACTGTGGCTGCATGACCAGCTGTCAGTGGGGTGATTCCGGAAGATCTAGGTGCACGACCAGATGTCAGTGGGGTGAGATGTGTCTTTGCAGCATGGAGTCAGTGCGCCCCCTGCTGGCCACACCAAGAGCTGACCATCACTCCCTTCTCCCTGTTCTCAGGATGCCATGCTGGGCGTGGAGGGCAGTGTGAATAACACCAGAGGTGCAGACCTCACCCCCAAACACCCCATGGCTCATCTGGGGCAGAGGGAACAGCTCAGCACTTTTGGTCTCAGAGGAGGTGCAGGCAGGGCCATGGAGGGCAGGGGACAGGAGGTGGCCAGGCAGAATGGGGGTATAGGGCAGTGAACTGGGCCTCCTGCACAAGCAGTATGGGTGAGGGGAGGGCTGGGCACTGGAGTGCTGCACCCTCACAGCCTGTATCAGCTCTCCGCATACCTAGCTTTGTTTTTGTTGCCACTTACTTGATCTCTCCGAGCCTCCATCTCTTCAATGGTAAATTAGGGTAAGGCCAGTCCTATGTCATGGCTGTGAAAATGCATATGAACCAAGTCCGGAGCCTGGAATACAGCCTCCACTCTTTCCCCAACCACAGGCTGTTGTTGCTTTTAGGTGCAGTAGAGTCAAGTATGACTCACAGCGACCTAATGAACAACAGGTCTGAACCCTGTCCTGTCCTGTGCTGTCCTGACCATCTCCAACACTTGAGCCCACTGCTGTGGTCAATGGCCATCTCCTTGAGGGACAGGAGCTGATATAAAATGGTATATGACTGCCCCCTTGAGGAAGGAGTGGTAACAGCATGTCCATGTGGGTTCCACATATCTCAAGAATGATGACCACAGCTTGGCCAGTTTGAATGACTGAGGCCCTGTGCCAAGAGCTTCAGGGGGATCGCCCATTTCTTCCCAGAGAAGAAAAGGTCTGCTCACACTCTCTGAACATTTATGCTGTCCTGTCATCTCTTAATCCCTTTTAAACTCTCTCTCCTAAACTAACTCAGTCCCACAAGGATAAATACTGGGTAAGACCATTATTGTAGAATGAGTATAAGGATCCAGGAGGAGTAGGAGAAGCTGGAAGCAGAGGGATGTAGATATATATGGCGAAGAGGGGATTAATCATTAGATTGTACAATTTGTTGAGGGGAAGTGAGGGAAATGGAAAGAGTTTGTTCTAATTTGTATTAGAATTTTGTAAATAAACTTTTTTTTAAAAAAAAGCTCTTTCTCCTAAGTGGGTTAGTACCCACTTCTGACTCACAGAGACCCTCCGATGGGTCTCCAAGGCTGTCAGCCTGTAGGTGAGGAGACTGCCCATCTTTCTCCCATGGGGATGCTGGTGGATTCTGAACACCAGCCTCTTGGCTGCACAACACGTAGCAAACCCTCTCTCAACCAGCTCTGTACTCTCCCCCAAGGTCCCCAGGAGCCTGAACTGACCAGGTGACAAGTTAAGGACCCTGGAAGGTTCTTAGGTGGTGTGAGTGCTCTGCACAGCCTGAATGTGTCTGGTCTCGGAAACTAAGCCTGTAGTACTTGGATGGGAGACCACCTGGGACAGAAACAAAAGGAAGGGCTTTTCTTCCTGGAGCGCTGGCTACTGAACATTTCTCAGTATGCCCTGTATGGGGGCTTTGACCATGTGGCCTTCATGGGGGATGGGTATCACCGTGGCATCTTTGACCACACACCTGGGTCTCCCTGTTCAGGGTCACACAGTGAGTCAGCACAGACTGAGATCGTCAGCACAGACTGAGATCCACAACTTGGGTCTCCTGCTCCCAGCCCTGGGCTCTGCCCACTACAGAGGGGCCTGGATTTCTTGGAAGCCAGGAGAGGGTTTCCAGACAAGCTCCTCCAGGTCCAGCGGAGCTGTTTAACCAAAACAGCTGGAAAGTCTGGGGCTGTACCTGGCTCTAGTCCTGTCCTTGGGCAGGGCCCCCAACACGGGTCCTTTCATGCAATGACAGTTAGTCTGGGGTGCTATCTGCTGTAATGGGGGGAAGAGCAGTGGGAACACAGAGAAAGATGTAGAACCCAGCCTCTGGGTGGTGGGCGAAGAGGTCAGGGAAGCTTCTAAAGAGGTGGGACTGAAGAGAAACTAAGCTGTCTTAAAGGACAGACAGCAGAGGCGGGGAAGAAGGAAGATGGGGCAACATGGCTGAGGAGAGAGGGAGGGGGCTGAGTGTGGCTGCTGTTATTGTTGCTAGGTCCTGTGAGTCAACTACAATGCATGATGGCCCATATGGACAACAGATCTGAACCCTGCCCTATCCTACGCCATTTGTACCACCTCTGATATGCTCAAGCCCATTGTAACAGTCATTATGACAACCTATCTTGTTATAACTAGGGAATCTGCTGTTAAGGACCTCTCCAAAATGTTAAAGACCAAGGATATCAGCTTAGAGACAAAGGTACCCCTGATCCAGGCATAGTCTTTCCAATTACTTCCTATGCATCTCAAAGTTGGATGGTGAATAAGGATGGAAGGGATGCCTTGTGGTGTTGATGAGAGTAGCAGGCTCAGGAGATTGTGATTTGATGGAACTGAGGGGTGTGTGTGTGTGTGTGTGTGTGGAGAATGTTGGGATGAAACAGGAGGAGAAGCTTGAATCCTGAGTTTGTATAGAGATGGAAGCCCCTGAAAGCAAACAGTTAACACAATGGGCTGCTAACAGAAAGGCTGGACATTTGAATCCACATAGAGGCACCTTGGAAGAAAGGCCTGGTGATCGACTTTGGGAAAATCAATCACTAGATAATGAAACACAATGGAGCACAGCACTACTCTGACACCCCCGAGGTCACCATGATGACAACTGGAATAAAGAGATTGTGGACAGGTGGGGCACTGGAGGGGGCAGGACAGTTGGAGCAAGGAGATGCTTGGATGGCGGCTGCATTTGTCCAGGGACAGAAGGGGAAGCATTCCCTGCAAGGATTCATCTCCACATTCCTCCCTTAGCATTATTTTCTGTCCATCTAGAACATGTGAGTGGTGATTCCTCCAGCTCAGCACCAGGAAGCGCTGGCCACACACTGGCCAGCAGGACCAGGCCCCTTCCTCTCAGTACTCCGATGGTCAGGGGGCCCAGGTGTCATGACTCCTGAGCATGGGGGCAGGTGGCTTTGGGGGACTGTCTGGGGCATGGGCCCTCCCTCTGTCCCCTGCGTCACCTGCACGGAAGAGCGGGAGGCTCGGGCCTTGTTGAGTGTGCGCCTCCGCTCCCAGCGATGGATGGAGTCCTGCACCTCCACGCTCAGCTGCCGGGTCACCGTGATCTTGTCGTAGTTTTTGATGTGCTCCAGGGCACCGTAGGTGGTGGTCAAATAGTAGGAACCTGCAGGGACAAGGGTGTGGAGGCTGGGTCAGGGCTTCTTCCAAATCCCTCGAGTGGTCCAAGGGGGTCTCCAGCCTGGTTCCTCCAGTCGGCAGGAAAGCTTTCCCTTGCCTCCGGGCTTGGTCCACCGCCTCCCTTTACGCCCAGCACCTCTGGGCAGCATCACATACACTCTCTAGTCTCCACCTGCACATCCACCACCTCCAGGATGCACCACTTGGGCCCCGCCTTGCCACACAATCCACACCCACAGTGGAGGCCTCAGCCTCAGCGGGAACGCCCGGAGGCCCCGCCCACCAGGTGGCCACACCCCCGGTGCCCCACCCACCTCCTCAGACCACACCCCCTTACTCCACCACCACAGGCCACACTTCTGGGCCCTCCCACCACTTCCAACCATACACCTCCACACACCAACACTGGCTCCTGCCCATCACCCCAGACCACACCCCTGGACTCCCACTGCCTCAGACCACACCCCGGGCCCCGCCCACTGCACAGGACCACACCCCGGGACCCCTGCATCAGACTACAACCTGTTACTCTTCCCCCCTGGGCCAGCCCACTGCCTCAGGCCACACCCCCGGGCTCCACCCACCAGAGGCCACACCCCCGGGCTCCACCCACCAGAGGCCACACCCCCGGGCTCCTCCCGCCACTTCCAACCATACACCCACACCCATCCACACACACACACACACACACACACACACACACACACACACACACACACGAACCCTGGGTCCCGCCCATCACCCCAGACCCCGCCTCCCTTGTCTCAGACCACACCCCTGGGCTCCACCCACCGCCTTCAACCCTACCCTGAAACACCCTCCACACATCGACACCCTAGGTTCCCCCCACCGCCCCAGACCACATCCCCACTGCCTCAGACCACACCCCAGGTCACCGCCCACCGCACCAGACACCCCTGGCTGGGCTCCACCCACGGCCCCATACAGCTGCTTGGATGGAACTTCCTGAATGGCCAGGGTTCTGCTCAAAGTTAGGTACTGGTTTCCACATTTGGAAGGGAACTCTGGCTTTTTTTTTTTTTTTAAAATTTCAATGAACATCTACAGAGATTTTGGACTTCCATTCATTCATTGTTGCACTTTTCTCCTCGCCCACCCCACCCCCACCCCCTGTTCGCTCCTCTCCTTGAAAAGCAAAAGAAAAACTCCTTTATTGGTACACAATCCCCCCCCACCCCCCCCCCACCCTGAGTATACTCCACTCTGCAACCCTCATTCTGGACTCTTATGATAATCATAATGCCCTAAAATAGATTACTTTTAAAATATTCTCTCCCTCATCGGCTTCAATGCAGTAAACATAATTGATCCAGTTTTTCTCAGTCTTACCCCCACCCTGATGTCAGCCTCATTCTACAACAGTGGCACCATATAGTATTTGTCCTTTTGTGACTGAGATATTTCACTCAGCATAATGTCCTCCAGGGACCCATTTTGAATAATATTGCATGAGTTCCTTGTTTTTCAATGCAGCGTAGTATTCCATTATGTGAATATACCACAGCTTCTCTATCTATTCGTTTGTTCACGGGCACTTAGGTTGTTTCCAACTCCTTGCTATTGTGAACAAAGCCGTGATAAACATGGGTGTGCATATATCTATTTATATTGTACACAGGCATTTTCTGGAAGGATACACAGTGAACATGCCCCCTTGGACGCCTTCAGGGTGGGAGAGGAAGTGGTTGGGAGAGAGTGGCCGGCAGGAGAATTCTGAGTCTATCTATACAGATCATACATATACAAACATAATGTTGCTTAGATAGGAGAATGGCTTAGTTTGTAAATGTCATCTGGGCGGACCAATCGATAGAAAAGGGTATTATGCACAATATAATACTATGTTGCATTGAAAAACAAGGAACTCATGCAATATTATTCAAAATGGGTGATCTTGGAAGACATTATATTGAGTGAAATATCTCAGCCACAAAAGGACAAATACTGCATAATTCCACTGTTGTAGAATGGGACTGACATCAGGGTCGGGGTGAGACTGAGAAAAATTAGATAAGTTATGTATACTGCATTGAAACAGATGAGGGAGACAACAGTTTAAAAGTGATATATGATTGGGTATTAAGGTTACGACAAGAGTCCAGAATGAAGGTTGCAAAGTGGAGTGTACTGGTAAGGGGGGATTGTATACCAATGAAGGATTTTTTCTTTTACATTTCAAAGAGAAGAATGAACTGGGGTAGGGGTGGGCAGGGAGAAAAGTGTAACAATGGATGAATGGAAATCCATATTCTCTGTAAATGTTAATTAAAATTAACAAAATAAATTTTTTTCTTTTTTTAATTTTATTATTTTTGTGTGAGTGTACCGTCAAATCAGATCTGACTGGTACAGGAGGAGATTGTCCCTCCTTCCCCGGCAGAGCATCTGGTGGATTCGAACTGTGTGCCTCTGGGATTGTAGTTGCAGCTCCTTACCACTAGGCCACCAGAGCTCCCCTGACAAAATAAAATTTAAAAAAAAAAGAAAAGGGTATTATGTTCGGTAGAAGAGAATCCCTTTGCAACCCAAACCTGAAGTTGGCTGATTCTGACTCACAGACACCTGTACTTATTGTTGGTGGGTGCCATCAAGTTGACTATGACTCATAGTGATCCTATGAACAACAGACCTCAACACTGCCCTATATCCCGTGCCGCCCTCATCACCTCTGCCACACTGGAGCCCACTGGGAAAGTCACCGTGTCAATCCGTCTTGTTGAGGATCTTCCTCTCTTTCTCTGACCCTCAGCCTTTCCCAGCATGATGCCTTTCTCCCAGGACTGGTTCCTTCTGCCTTGTGCAAAGTCAGCGAGATGATGTTTCACATCCTTGCCTCTAAGGGACACTGGTTGCATTTCTTTCATGACAAACTGGTCTGTTCTTCTGGTGATCTGTAAACCCCTCAGGACAGAGTGAAGTGGTTGCTAGGCTTTCCAAGCCTGTCAGGCTGTTATCTCCACAGAAAGAAGCCCTGGTGGCGCAGTGTGCAGCATGTGGGCTGCTAACAGCCCCTCCTGCTGTTAGAAAGACGGTGACTTCCTGCCATGAGCGTTCAGAGCCTCCCGTCCAGACCTCTTGGAGTGTCGTCACGAGCCAGACCAGCTGGACCACAGTGGGCTTAGTTTTGGGGTTTTAATCTTCATGGACATCAACTATCACAGCTTTCTCCCAGGGAGTAGCTGGTGGGTTTGACCCAGCAACCTTCCAGCCAGAAGCTGAAGACTTAACCACCTCGGCAGCAGGTAAAGGGTTAGGGAAATCTTCAGTGAAACGAATTGATACTGTAGCCCCAACTATGTGCTCGGTCATAGAAAAGATTCCAACGTCACCACCATGACTTGGAGCGTACTCCACAACCAACAGAGACGCTCCAGTGGCCTGGTGGGTAAGACACTGTGCTGCCAGTCCAAAGGGAGGCGGTTTGAATCCACCAGCTGCTCCAAGGAAGAAGGATGGGCCTTTCCTCTCACGTGGTTTACAGCCTCTGAAAATTCCCTGGAAGGTCAGCTGTCAGTTGGTTTTGACTCAATGGTACATAGCTAGAAACTCACTTTTGCAATTTTCTTTTTTCTTCTTCTTTTTTTATGTAAATTTATTATTAATTTCAGTAAAAATGTACAGAGACTTTGGATTTCCATTCATTCATTGTTGCACACTTTTGCAATTTTCAACCACAGTAACTATTCTAAAAAATATTTTTTAGAAGTTGATATAGGAGAAAATGTAGTGACCATTATACTATGTTACAAGCAATTTTCCAAGATTTAAAAGAAGTAAAATGAGTGTTTCTTTCTCCATTTCTTTTAAGTTAATTCACACAATTGAATGAAAATTCTTTATAATTTATGACCTTTCACTCAAAAACCCAAAACCTCCACAAGTAAAAAAAGTCATTCATAAAAAATTTAATACATACTTATTTTTCTAATAGCCAGTAAATTATAAAATGTATTCCTTAATAAATAACAAAGATTAATAAAATAAACAGGTAATATTATCTAAAGACCCTTGCTTCACAACTTGTACATACCAAATTCAAACAATTAAAGTCCTAAATGGGCAAACTAAAATTCTTGACAGATAAAAGCAATGCTATCAGGCTGAGTTATCAACAGTGAATTAGTTAAAAAACAAAAACAAAAACAAAACAGTGAATTAGTTCATATAATAATAAAAGTAAAAACAAAAAATAAATAAATAAATAAATGAGACCTGATAAAAATGAAAACTTTTGTTCAGGAAAAGGCTTTATCAAAAGAATGAAAAGACAAGGTATCTATTGGAAGGATGTCTTCATAATCCATATGTCCAGAAAGAATCTATTTAACCACATTATATTTAAAAACTTAACTGCTTACCAATAAAAAAAAAAGACAATCCAATCATAAAACAGACAAGTGACCTGAGTAGCCATTTCTTGAAAGAAGACCTTCTGATGTCCACCAGACACATGGGAAGATGCGTGGTGTCATCTTCCCTCAGAGATGCAAATAAAAACCACAATGAAACCCCATTTCACTCCTATTAGAATGGTAAAGACACACACACACACACACACACACACACACACACACACACATACACACTACCACCACCAAAAAGAAACAAGATAGCAAACGTTGGTGAGGATAGGGGGACACTGGCACCCTTATCTGATGCTGTTGGAAATGCAAAACGGTACATCTGTTATAGAAAACAGTGGTAATTCCTCAGAAAACCAAATGCTACTACAAACACACTACTGTGTGACCCAGCAAGTCCATTCCTCGGTTAAAGACCAAAGACAGGCAAGCAGAACTCAAAGAGGGGCCCGCACCAGTGCAATGCAGCACTGTTGACAACAGCCATAGGGAAGAACCAACGAAATACTCATCAACAAATGAACGGATCAAAATGCGGTCCATACATGCAACAGAACACAACGTGGCCAGGAGGAGATGACATCGTGACACACACATATACTAT